CAGCAGCACTCTTTAAGATGGTCCATTTCTTGGTGAGGAAGGACAAGCCACAGGACCATCTGTAGGACAAGCACAGGACCATTTGTAAGGCTGCTGGAAAGAATATCCTAGAGATTTTTAGAGGGTAAAGTTGCTCTCATTTGCTCAGAATTAGTCTGTGTTGAGATGTTGGAAGCATCATCATGTCTCCTTCCTTCCTTCCTTCCTTCCTTCCTTCCTTCCTTCCTTCCTTCCTTCCTTCCTTCCTTCCTTCCTTCCTTCCTTCCTTCCTTCTTATTTTGCACAGACTTTTGATTAGCAAACATCCTAGCTGATTGCATTGAGTGCTGCTTCCTATGTTGCTGTAAGATTCCATTTTCTATATGACAGAATTCAGATCCAAGATCCAAGGTTATTCAAGGTTACCAGAGTGCAAGAAGACCTCGAGTCTCAAGCAAGTCTTAATAAGAATAAGTTGTTTTTTCCTGCTGAGGAGGATCTTAAAGGCAGGCCAGCCTAAGTGAAAGGGATCATCTACTAAGCTGCTAAACAGATGCTGAAACATGCAGTTCAGTGATTTGCTGCCTGGGGCAGCTACAAACAACTCCAGTTGGTGCATCTGTTGATCAGACAAAAAGCAAGACTGGCTGCTAGCATTTATACCAACTTTTGGAGAGATGAGGTTCTATCTTTTTCCTCATCTATGCTTAATAGGAACTTGGAAATCTGAGCACAGATTTCATCTCACAAAACTGAACTCTATCTCAGAACTCATGCCCAGTTAAGAAATAGGAGTAGAAATTCCGTTATTAAAAAAAAAACATTATCTTCCCTTCCGGGCAGAAAGACAATGGTTCAGTGGTACCATGAATGGAGCAATCCTGGTCTTCTGTCTGGGCAACAGGATGCTGGTTAGAGCATGACTCCATGCTTCGTTTGCAGTGGGGTATGCGGCATGCACTCAAAGAATGAGAACATCAGGAATTCTGGAAAATGTCTCAGAGAGTGGGTATTTATTTCAGTCTCTAAAGGATACATATACCTCCCACACTATCTCCACAGCTTCCCCACCACATGCTAAGTTCTGTGCATTTTCCTCCATATCTTCTTCCAGAATATTTCGCAGCTGTGTTACTGAATAACAGAAAAACAGAGCTGGAAGGGACCTTGGAGGTCTTCTAGTACAACCCCCTGCTCAGGCAGGAAACCCTATACCATTTCAGACAAATTGGTTGTCCAATATCTTTTTGAAAACCTCCACTGTTGGAGCACCCACAACTTCTGGAGGCAAGTCGTTCCACTGATTTATTGTTCTAACTGTCAGGAAATTTCTCCTTTGTTCTAGGTTGGTTTTCTCCTTGATTAGTTGTGGACTCAGCTAATTGATCATCACCACCACCTTCCACATTGGAGAACTGATTGGGAGTTGGAGGTTATTTTGTGACCTTTTGGAGAAAGCAGGGAACCCCAGTCATTGTCAGAATGGTTGCAATTCCCTGATTTTTCCTCTGCATGGAAAAGAATGCAGCTTAAGAGTTGGGCTAGTTTGGTATCTCAATGCCTCCGGCATTTTTAGCTGCATGGAAAATACAAATACCTGATTCTTCCAGGGGAAGAAGGGCAAGCTGTCTTGTCTGCTTCCAAAGTGCCAGGAACAAATAGGTGACATTATCTAAATGTGCAAGTATAAAAAGTAGAAAGTGATAGTAAGATTGGATGCTTAGGCTAAGTAGAATGTTAGGTATTTAACTATTGACAAAAAGAATAATAATAATACAGAAGACATTGTCCTCAATTACCCCTTGCTGCAAAGTATACTTTTAGAGTGGCTTTCTATGATAATCCCAATATCTGATCACTTTGGAAAGCAATCCGTTGCATAACATGTTGCAGTAATCCAAGCTGGAGGTTATGGGGTATGGATAACTGCACCTAGACATCAGCATACAGATATCTACATACCTGTAACAATAGAAAAAGTACTCCAAGATCATGAAGCCATCTGGGACTTCAAGTAAATGTCCAGGTGGATGCGTGAAAATGCAAGAATAGATAACAAAGTCAAGCATCTAGCCCTGTTGCTACTGTATTCTCCTTGATCTCCAGACATTCTCTGAGTTGGACCACTTGGAAAATTTACAGTACATTCAAGCAAATGAGAGTTCAGTTCCCCTTTATCCCTGCAGTGGCATATTTGAAAATTGTCAAAAGAAAAGTGTTGAGCCAGCAGTTCATTTTCTACCAGTTTGAGCCATTTGAATTTTCAGCACAGTCTATGACATCCTAAAGCCAACCTATGATCCAGGTTATAGTCAACTGAATGAATGCAACAATGAGGGGCTCTCATCAGATTTTGGAACTGCAAATTTCTTTGAGGATGGAAGGATGGAGCTCTGCTGGAAGACAGTGGGTTTCTCAAAGGGGGAAGAATCTAAACATGGGACTTACTGACCTACAGGAAAAATCTCCATCAGCATCTCCTGCCATATGTTGCAAAGTCCAAGGGCTGGACTTTGAGAGAATTTTTGTATTTCTGAGAATTTTTGGTTCCCAAAAATGGGATTCACGTGTCTGCCATACAGAGAGACTTAGAGGGTCTGTGGATGACTGCCATGATTGCAGCCTTGGAATAAGCAATCTTGGCTGAGTAAGTGTGTGATTAAACAGAACTGGTGTCTTTTGAACTCTTTTCTGTCCTGTCTCATCAGAATCTTGCTTTGCTGATCTTCATCAAACTGACTTTTTGTATCTGGAATAAGCTGTTATGTAAAGCTTGAGTGCCTGTAGATTTTAATGTAACCCTGGGGCTTCATTCCCTTTCCGCTCCTTGCTGAGCTTGTGTTAATAATTTATGTTGCCTTTTTATTATGCATATGTGCACAGAAACCTTGGCTATTGTGTCTTTTTCTTTGTTAAATTGTGTGCTGAAACTTTAAGTAGCTATTCCTTCTTAATAGCCATTCATGGAAAAATTAAGTTTTCCCCTGGCAAAGTATTTTTTGGTTTCCGTGGTGTGCTAAACTGGAATACTTCAGTGGAGAAAATGTTCAGTTAACTGCTTTTGAGAAACAAATTTTTCAACATCTTGTGGAAAAAATATGGCAAGTATCTGTCTCACCGTGGATATCGGTACAATCTCCATAGTACAATCTCCTTGCCTACAAACACTTCTTTCCATGAATTGCCCTGCTTTTCAGCAAAAAAAGAGATTGCCCAGATCCAGAGGGAGAGTTTGATTTCACATATATTAAGTCAGAATGTATTTATATCAGTAAAACCTTTATTTCTCATCTATTTGTCAAGTTGTTACAATTCTTTATGACAAAACTGGATAAATGTGTTTTATCACCCTCCTTCTGTTACAAGGCAGCATCAAGATTTATTTGCAAGAAATTCAGAGACAGCGGAGAGAAGGAGGCAGCTGTAACTGCTCCATTACAAATCAAACAAAAATTCTCTATGTTGAGAATCAATATCATATTGAATGTGACATAACCTTGGAATTGATTCCAATAATAGTGGTAAATATTTAGACACTATTGTGCTCACAAATAGTTCAGGCTTGTGAGGTTTTGATTGTTGGGAGTGCTTCTTGCTCAAAATGGCATGAATTTACATAATTTCAAAAGGTACTGTAAAAATCAGATTGTTTATCCTTTAAAAATGAAATGTTTTGTGGAGGAGAATACTGTTAAAAGGGGAAAATGAAAGATGGGAACTAATAGGTCGCCCTCAATGAACATGAGAGAAAGAATATAAAATGGTAAAACTGGATGCAGAGATAAGAGCATAAAATATGTTAGTCAAACATCAATATAGTGAAGACTGTCTACCTGCCAATGCTGGAAACTGGGAATCAGTTAAATAGAGCATGGATTATGCTGTCTAAGTTTTTGACTTTCAAGGTCTTCCCACATTTGTGTGCCTGCCAAACAAATTAATTGTTCAGCATAAGAAAGTTATCAGTAGTTCTGTACTACTTGAAACCAATAGTTAAGCATCAACTATTTATATGCCGCATACATGGAAAGTGAGTGTGGGAATGCCTCATCCCTTTGTACTTGTGAACCTATTTGACCACAAGACCATGATAAGAGAGAGATGAGAGGAAATCTTCATAGGCTATCCTTGCATCTGTATGTCACATAGCCCATTATTTAAATGAATCTCCAAGTTGCCTGTTGGATGTGATCAACAAAATCAAGATAATGGCCGTAAAAGTATGATTGAAGCCCCACCTGTTTATCTGCTCCAACCACACTGTGGTGGCCACCATCTGGATTTTTTTTCATTACACCTTTGAGTCTCTTGTTTAAATGAGAAGCTATCTTTCTTTCTCTTCGTTCCCCATGTTTCAAGCTTCATCACAATGTTCCCTTCCTTCAAGATATATTTAGATAGGCTTTTCTAACTTTATGTATTTCTTAATAAATTTAGTTATTCCCTCAAATACAAAATGAAGTAGCCTGCTAGCAATCATAAATGTCTGGGCTCTGAACCCCAGACAACTATATTCTTTGGTTATAAGCATTTTTCCCAATGCAATATTCTGGTGGTGAATTACTTAATCTTCTTCCAGAACTCTGGAGTTCAAATTCATAACTTCTACCTAGGACTCCTATTGAATTCAAATCTTTTACAGCATGTACTGTATATGTTGTAGACTAGTGATTCTCAACCTTTTCTTCATCACGGACTCCCTTTTGTAGCCACGGACCATGGCCATGGACCACCAAGACTTAACTCAAGATTTTTTTGTATTAGTTTTATTCATTTATAACATAAAATGTGAAAATACAAAAGCAAATAGTAGGGGACAACAGTAGAGAAAAGGAAAACAAAAAAGGTGTGAAGAAAGGGAGGGGAAGAAACAAAAGGCATTGACTTCCGACTCTCTCAGTTGCAGTGAAATCAGACATTAAAATCAAATCTCAGCTTTTTACATTTCAATAGTAGTATGTACTAGCCATTTCTGTATCGGCAAATCAGTCTAATCAGTAAAACCCAAAATCATGATATCGTTTTTTTTCCACCTTAAGCACAAAGTCCAGAAGCAGTTTCCAAGTAGAAACAAAAGTACTTATGTTCTTTTCTTTTATCAGCACAGTCAATTCATCATTTTTGTAACCATTCATCCATGGTAGGAATTGAGGCATCCTTCCACTTTTGTGCATAGAGCAAGGTTGCTGCCATCACCCTATATAAAATCAGAATTCCAATTTTTTTACAATTTCTCTTTCCATTAGACCCAGAAGGAAAGTTTCTGGTTTAATCTTTATGTTCACTTTAAGAATTTTCCACATTTATATATATGAATCCTACTCCAATATTTCTTCGCCTTATCACATGTCCACCATAGATGATAAAAAGTCCCTTTTTTACATTTAACTCAAGATTTAAATCATTAACGTTTCTTCAAGCCTTTGAGGACTCCATGTGACATTGCCCCCCCCCTCCGGGGTCTGCAGACCACAAGCTGAGAACCACTGCTGTAGACCAAGGTTGCTGTAGCATGTTTGCATTAGGAATGGGTGACCTATTGCAGGGGTCCCCAATCCCTGGTCCGTGGACCAGTACCGGTCCGCGGTATGCCAGCAACTGGTCCACACAAACAAGCAAAGCCCCATCCATGGGATGCAAGTAGCACACAAAACCATGCCCCCCTCCGGTCCGCAGAAAAACCTTTCTCCATGGAACCGGTCCCTGGCACCCAAAAGGTTGGGGACCTCTGACCTATTGCATATAGAATCTGTAGACCTTCAGATGTTGCTGAATTGCAATGCCTAGTTGTCTCAATTATTTGGCCAGTGATAAGGGCCATCTGGACAATTGCTGATTTAACACATGTTAAATATACTGAATTAGCCATTTTGAACTTCATTGGTGTCCCTCATGCACTGGAGTGCTTTACCGAATATATCTGATATTCTACTTCAAGAGCACAACTACACTGGTAGGCAAATTATCTTTTAAATAAACTGTGATGTTACTGATCTATTTATTGGTTATTGATATGAGGTGGTGGTGGGGCATATGAAGTATAAACCTGGATCATTTAAAGTTCCCCATAAACCTTCATAGTGTGCATTTCACCATGGCAGGGGTATCAAACTCGCAATGTCACGTGATGTGTCGCGACATATCGTGACTTTTTTGCCATTGCCGGCAATGGGGTGAATATGGTTTTGCTATGATGCATCTGGCCCATGGGTCGGCAGTTTGACACCCCTGCACCATGGGAATAATCAGCAAGGAGAAATGCTCATATAATCTCTACAAAAGCCATAACAAAATATGTGTTGCAATTTCTCAGAAGTTTTCTTCTCCTGTAAAAAAAGAAAAACTAAAAACAAAACAAAAAAATCATTTTCACAGTGCTTGAGAATTTATTCTGAACTTCTCTTGGTGGCTTTTTGGTTACTTGATAATTGGAACTGGGAGAACCTTCTGCTGGTCATTATGATATCTTCTGTTACACATTTTTCCATCATTTTGAAAGATTCCCTGGCTGCTTATATCTCGCTATCTAAAAGAATCCAGATTAAGGGTTTCCCCTTATGTTTCTCTTGAGGTTTAATGGAAATGTAAGAAGTCAAGGAGGCTACAGATTAAGGAAGAGATGATTGAACCATGAAAGATGCAATATTCATGCATCCATTGAATACATCCACTTATAATCATGTTATTGCAAGAACTCCACATTCCATCCTTGAAAATTTCATCAGTTTTTCCTCTCCTTCGATGCTAACTTTGAAGGCAAATTATTATTCATTAAGTTGAATGAGAACTGAAAGGGAAAAAAAACGGCAGGATATTTTTCATGCATGGCAGTAGTCTCTATAATCAACTTTGTAATTGGAAATGGGGGAACTATTGTATCTTATTCTCAGTACTCCCCTGCTAGTCAGTTTTGCAGTCTGGCCAAGTTTTCTGCTTTGTGCAGAATTTAAAACCTAGCAAAGCAAAATTGTTCTGCTGAATTTTTTTTGTCTAGAACAAATGATATCAAACTGGGAATTGAGAAAAAAATACTTCAGATTAATAGATGGAAGTTGGTTTTGTGCTTAATGCCAAAAACAACATAAAAAGGGGGAAAAGTTAAGTTTGTTCATAGTCTTACTGAAAACTATAAACTGAAATACCAAATTTAGGGTGGCCCTCTAAATTTCTATAAGAAAGTAAGTTCAAACAAGACACCAGCAGTATCTTTCTGATTATATGAGCTCTCAGCCTTTGGAACAGGCTGCCATGGTCACTACTGAATTCTGTGTTAGAAGTCTTTAAACAGCAGTTGAATGTTCATCTGTCAAAGCTTCTCTAATGGAACCTGTGCTGAGCAAGGAATTGGAGTAGGTGTCTTCTAAGCTAACTTCCACCTCTGTGATTCCCTTCAGCCTGATGCCCTTGGCTTCCTTCAGCTTGTGAAACCCCAACTTGATCTCTAAACATGGTAATTTGAAATACAAACAACTGAATTCTTCTCCTTGTATCGAGTTAATTGAAATTATAATTCTCAGTTTTAAATCCTTCAACTACAATCTTATGTTCAGATAACTTGGTGAACACAGTGGCAGGCAACTTCAGTCCATTCCTACTTGCAAAGAGTTGAAAAGCTTAGATCTATAGAAAGAGGAAGACAGTTTTTATTGGTTCTGCTTTCGGTTTTCTACAATACCAAAACATTTCTAGAATGAGAGGGAGGGGCTGAAAGGAGACAAAAATCATTATTTTTTCCTCTATCTCTTGCAACAGCAGTAGCCTCTGCTCAATTGTCATCTTGCTCATGTCGGGAAAGGTTTTCTAACTGAGGAAGCCTACTTGGCATCCAAGAAACTACAGGATTCAGTTCCATGTAAACATTGAATAGGGTTGTTCTTTTACAAGACTTCTTTTTTTTCTCCTGTTTCAAGTTTTTATCAAAATATAAAATATAAAGGAAAATAAAAATAATAGGAAACTAAGGGAAGGGAAAAGGGAAAGGAAAAGAAAATGTTAGGTAAAAGGGGAAAAAAGGGAAACAAAGCATTGACTTTCAACTCTTTTTAGCACAGAAAAAAATAACAACATTACAGCCTCAACCTTTTACTTTTACACATTAATATGTACTAGCCAATTCTATAACAACAAATCTATCTAATCAGCAAAACCAAAATCAAAGTTTCATTTTTTTTCATCACAAGCACAAAATAAAAATAATAAATAAAATTTCAAATAAAAAACTTTGAATAAAGCAATCAATTTAACCATTTCTGCTTTTTCTTCCTTGCTGTGGAAATAATATATATTTCTGTTTGCACTTAAGAGTCTTTATAAACTATCACCATTTATATTAAGAAAATTCACGATATTCTTTCAGATTCTTTAAACTTAAAGAGAAAGACACTTTTTTCACAATAAACATTTTTTTAAAAAGTATTTCTAAAATCAATAAGTTCTTTTTACAAGACTTCTAATGAAGGTCAGTTCAACCACACATATTTTTATTACCATACCATCTCAATTTTCCAAGTTTATTTGAAAATACTTCAGAGTTAAGTAAATTTAACCGTAAATCAATAGAATTAAAAAATTCAGAGATTTGGGTACTGTTTTATTCTTGGGTTTAATTATTCATTTTCCCTTCCATTTCCAAAGAGACATCATCCAGATAAAGAGGACATGTCTCTTTCCATTTTCTCTGCCACATTCAGTTGCTTCTACACATAATTTATGCTGCTTTATAAGAACTGCCTCAGTGAAGATGAAGAAAGAAACATATAGTAAGTCTAAGCTTACTCCCAGCACTTAATTCCAGCCTGTTTATAGTGATTATACTTTGTAGAAAGAATGTAGGAAAGAACAGGAGATAGTAAATGTTTTCACTCCTGGGAGCTACATTTGGCATGAGAAAGAGAACAGCTTTCCTTGGAAAAAAATAGACATTTTTTTCCTAAGATTGTGAGGGGCATTCTATTTTCTAGCATTGTGAAGTGCAGTTGGGTTTATATGCTAAGATCCATCACTTGAGAAGCACTTCATACATTTGCAGGATTAATAAACAAATTAATGTTTATAAAGCCTTGCAAAACTTGAAGTGGTAGGGTTACAAATTTTGGAAATATGGTGGGAAAGTGGGATTAATTGTTATTAGGAAGACAGTGAAGGGGATTTTCAATTTTGCGGGCATTTAATCTTTAACTTTTACATGACATTTCAAGACAAGGCCAACAAATCATTATCTAGGGATAACATAGTGTGCTAAGCTATGTATGCATAATCATATTAATTTAATGAACCATGATTTTTGGGTTCACACAACATACTAAACTAGGAATCAGCAATGTTGTATCTGTGGTTATAACAGTACCAAAAACACTGAGCAAATACTTAGGGAGATTCAAAGAACTCCTAGATTATTATTTTTTAAATGACCAAAATCTCATGAGTACCAAATGTCATAAGATTTCAGCTATTTACTTGATAGTAGTGACATGGTGATGGTGCCTGCAAGATAGTAGAAAAGCATGCAATCAACTCATCTTGAAAAGTATGCCAAGCACTGTGTGAAACTATTAATTATGCTTTGGAATTTACAGTGGATGGATTCATACAATATATCAAATACCAACAAGCCACAGTCTGATTTATTTCAACTCAGCATCCATAACTGTCTGGTTCATGGAAGGTTATTAAGTTTTCCTTTGTGCAATAAGGACTAGCTAAGAATGACTCATGGCCTCTGAATGCCAGGTTTGGGGGAATAAAGGTGTAGCTTAAGCATTTTCAAAGAGAGATGAAGTTTTTGGTCTGGCTAGGAAACATACAGAAAGCCTCCAGCATAGATTTTCAGAGTTTGGAGTTAATGACTAATGAACATTCTTTTGTAGCAAACAATGCCTGCCCCCATCTTCCTTCCTTACTCATCAATACAACCTATATAGTTCTATAGAAACAGAAAAGCATGGCCTCTTAGAAAATTGGCTCAGCCTTACATTACAAGGAGTCAAGCTGAGGATGGCCAAAAAAAGATTAGTTATTTATTGTCTTATTGTTCCATTTGGATTTCTGGAATCAGGATCCAAATCAAAGCACCTGTCCAAAGAAGAGAGATCATTGGTGCCACTTATTATAGAATTTTGGGTTTCAATTATTAACTTGACCAGAAAGTTTGGGAACTTTCTACTTTGATGTTTAATGGGAGAGGATTTATACTAAATTAGGAGGTACAGACTCCTACTTTGTGTATATGCTTTGGAACAGTAACTCCCAAAATTAGTCATGCATCCATAAAACACCTGAAGGGAGCCAAATTGAGAAAAAAGCGGTTTAGCTAGAATGTATATATTCCTCTTTTTATTTGGGCAGTTGACTTGCTGCTCCATCCCTTAGCTCTCCTGATCATATTGAGATGGTCACTAGATTCAATTAATGAACCTGAAGACCTGAGCTAGGGCCAAGGAAAATGAATCTGCAGCATCATACAAGATGCAAATGATGTGTTGATCTTTGGTTGGTTATTTTCTGTGACTGATGGGTATTTGGAATGGGTTATTTTATGTCAACCAACACTTTTTGCTTCGGACACAAATAGAAGGGAAAGAAATTAATGGAATGCATAAATCAACTCTTTAGGACAATCCATGCAGAATAAATGAAACATGCAGCCTTCATCATTAAGTCAAATTCATTAACCAGCACTGTGTTAATAAGAGGATAAGAAATTTGCTGGGCTTATCTGCACTCCAGCCTAGTGCGGTTCACTAGGATGGAAAACAATCTCCAAAGTGACATAGCAGTGGTAGAGTTAAGGGCTATTCTGTCATTTCCTGTCTTTCTTCCAGGACTTGAGACAATGGTGCATTTTTTGAAAGGCTCAGAAGAAGTATTTGAGAAGGAAGCCCTTTTCTTCAAATTCAAAGTAAATGTATTTAATATGGTCAATGACCAGCAAAGTGAAAAAGAAAAAGAAACCAAATCCTCCAGTGAAACCATTATATAAAATCTAACATGCCTCCCTCAAAAATACTCAGTTCTAGCTCTGCTAAAAGGAAAGATGGAAATATGTTTTGTGTCTAAAAATGCTTTTCCAGACCACCCAGAAGAAGGATTTTTCTTACAATGGACTTGCCACGTCTCCCCCCCCCATTTTTCCCCCCTTATGGCCTCAAATCCCCAGTTTTTGGTCTTTTCCCTCCAGTTAGTACTGTAGTAGTATTTTTTTAGATCTTCACTCTACAGATCCTGATGCTGACACATATCAGTAAGTCACATTCTAATCTAAAAGGAGTGCAATAATATCATAATTTCTTGTTGTTACTTCATTTTATGAAAATATGTAAGATAATTAAGTCCTGGTCACCTCCTGCTCCAAGGCACATGGTAAGGTGATGAATATACCATCTAACCTACCAACCTTTAAACAGCTGAATTACATATGACACTTTATCTACACCAGTATTTTGTAACTTCAGTGAATTTAAGACAGGTGGACTTCAACTCTAGAATGTTCACTAGGGAATTCTGGGATTTGAAGTCCATACATTCTGAAGTTGTTAGGATTGAGAAACACTGATCTACACTCAATGAAGTATCTATATTAGATGATGCAATCATCTGATCCTGCAAGGGGCACCTTTTGTTTAATAGAACTGGATTATGTTCTAATGAAACTGGTCTTCAATAAAGAATTTGGTTAAAGAATTTGATGGGATTGGGTAAGGGTATGATGGTGACATAAGCATTTTCATTAACCATTCAGAATGGCTTGACAGGACTATCTACAAAAAACAGGAGTGTCTGTAGGGGGAGTCAAAACAGTCAAGATGGCTGCCACAATTATGCAATTGGCGCATTTTAATATGCATGACATACGCTTAAAAGGGTGGACTTTGATCACATGGTTGTGGCCATCTTAACTTTTTTGTCCTGCCCTGTCCCTCCTCCTCCCCCCCTCCCCCTACTCCTGCAAATACTACTACTATAGGCAACTACTTAAGAGATTAAAATAAGTGTTGCTCTTGAGTAATTCCAAAATGTTTTAATGCAACTGATAGAACATCCTTTAACAAAGCTTTAACACAGTCCTATGGCTGAGAAAACACCCAAATGATAAAATGAAATGAAATGAAATCAAACAAGCAGCCCTATTGCTAATCCAATTTCCTGGGCCTAATGAGCAAACCCTTTAGGGAACATAAAAGTTACACATTTCAATTTCAATCTCTTTTGGTCTAATCTTTGGAGCTCTTTTGTTAACTACTCTTCCTGCTGATCTCTTGACTTCAACTCTGTAATCAGTAGAAGGGAGTGAAGGTTTTTCTTCACAGAGATTTGGAGTCCTCTCAGATCAGGCTTTTACTGTGTAAGCAGTGTGCTTTACTTTATTTTTCCACTAACTGTCTGTGGGGTTTTTTGTGATGAAATAGATAGGAACACTGCAAAATGTCTGTCGTTTGATAGCAGTTTGGTTCTCTTCTTATGAATAACCACATTCATTGGATTTCTGCCTGCTATGGAACCGAAAAAGGTAGCGGAAATCTGCTGTGTAGTATATGTGCATGAATGGCAGGCTATATTGTGGTTAGGTACCACTGTGTCTATAAGCATCAGCAACATGGTGATAAGAACCTTGATGGTGCAGTGGTTAGAATGCAGTATTGCAGGCTAATTGCATTCCCACTACCAGAAGTTCGATCCTGACCAGCTCAAGGTTGACTTAGCCTTCCATCCTTTCGAGGTCAGTAAAATGAGGAGCCAGATTGTTGGAGGTGATATGCTGACTCTGTAAACCACTTAGAGAGGGCTGTGAAGCACTATGAAGCAGTATATAAGTCTAAGTGCTATTGCTATTGGTATATACTAGGGGTTCTCAATGGGGGGTGTGAATGATATTCCAGGAGGTGTGAAAACTTGGGTTTAGAAATTCCAAAATTATAGTGTATATGCATAATTCATTGCCATTATTTCGAACTTTTGTAAGGTGTGCTAGAATATATCAGAAGTGTTCTAGGGGTGTGGGGTATAGAAAAGGTTGAGAATATACAATGACCAGAGAGATGATTGAACAATGCATTGGTGTGTGAGTTGATTCCACTGTCATGAAGTAGGCTTGGTTTGATCTTTCACTCTTTCTCCATTAGATATTGCATTCAACAATTCTTGAACCTGAGCTTGCAAGGTTGACTTGCTTTTTGTGAGGAAGAAAAAACTGTTCAGAGCAAAACATCATCAGTGCATGCCTCAAATTTCATCAAGCACTTAGGTCAGATAATTTCCACATTGCCAAATTTATGCTGGCATCCAACCAATTTTTAGGCTGATTATCAGTAACATATCAAACCTTCACAGTCCAGTAATGGCTAGGTGATGGGTGCACCTTCACAGTAGCATACAAACACTTTGCTGACTGTTTTGGAGGGCCCCATCCCACTGCAAAGCCAATCCAAAATTGTTTTTAGTTGTTCTGCTGTTCAAGTGGTGTTTTCCTTCTTTTTACATAAATCCTCCTATACAATCTCTAAGGGCTCATTGGTGTTGTCACTGACCAAGTTCCCTTTGGCAGCTTCTGAGTGCTGTGGGATCATCCTTTCCATGCTCAATCTCTAGGCATACATCCATTTTGACACAAACCTACCACAAATAGAATGGGCCTGTCAACCAGGATATTTCATTTTCCCTACTTTTTTAAAATTTAGGACTCTCCAACTCTTATAGCAATTCCCCCCCCCCAATTTTATCTGTTAAGTGGGGCATGGGAAGGGAAGCTGGCTGAAACATACTGAAAGCAGGCATTTTGTAATATAACTCCATCTGGACTGTGTATTTTTCATGAATGAAGGCAAATGTGAATCCCCCCCCCCCACTATCCTGTTTTTTTAAAACATGAGTCTAGCTATCTCCTGAAGTCTTTAATTGTTATTTTAACAATTGGTCGGTTGATCTCCTAAATGATTTTTTTATTTCAGGCAGAATGCTCTTTTCCCAGTTAGGTCTATCAATCTGTTCAACTTCCTTCGTTATACACTTTTTTTTTTTTTTTTTAATGCCCAGCATCTCTGCACTGCAGTGGCAGCTCTAAGAATAAGGGAAGACCCGGAGGAAGGGACTGGAAATCCTCAGTAGGAGATCTCTATTTAAAGAAACGTATCCAAGTGACCACATTGGAGGAGAACAGGACGAGTTGGGAGAAAACGCCTAAAAATGGCCAGTCGCGCCTTACCTAAAGTTAGGAGCAACGGGGGTACTTTTCCCACCCGCAGGTGTGGCTGGGTGGATAGAGAAATGAAGCCAGGGGGAAACCACAAATCGCCGGCTTGAACTCCCGCCTTCAAACTCCGAGGCCGTACCGCTCCTCTGCTGCCTGTGACATCAGAAAGCCCAGCTGTGCGGGATGCACTATTTGTTAACCACCGATTCTAGGAAGGTAAAGAAAAAATGGTATCAAGCACCCGGAAGACCAGGACTCCCGTAGGAGGCTGCCAAGATCCGCACGGTTAGCGGAGGGCAGGTTTTCAGATCTGTTGGCAACCCTCTAGTGGTGCTCCAGAGTTTTGAAGCGCACGCTCGATGCGCTCAAGAACAGAAACGGCGCCCCGATTCGGGGTCTATCTGGAGGTGAGATACGTCTCCGAATAGTCTCCATCCGGGAGCGCCCCCACCCCCAACGCCTGCGCCGAGCGGTTCCCCGCAAGAGCGCTCGTGCACTCTGCAAAGTTCCCGATTTCTGGCACGACTTCGGATTCCGGCCGTCGCCGTCGAATTCAGCCGAGCGAGCGCCCGTGCCGGCTGCGCAGCGAGGTCCTGCTAGAGCCGAGCTGGTCCCCGGCGCTCGGGCAAAGAAGCTGGGCTGAAGCCGAGCTCGCACTGCCCCCTGTGGAGGCGGATCTCCTCGGCGAGCGCCCAGCTCTGCGCCCGCCGGAGGGAGCCCCGCAGACTATGCCAGAGCCCTCGGCGGCGAGAAGTGGCGCTGCCCTCTGCGCGCGGCTCGCTCTCCGGCCCCGGGTGAACTGGGCAGAGGCGCAGCTTCGGCGGCCGAGCGAGCGGCTCGCTCCGTGGGCGGGAGCAGCCCGGGGACGCCGGAGCGCTGGGAGCCGCCGCCACCGCGGCGTGGAGAGGCGGGCATGCAGGCTGGCGGCACTGGACTTCCTGGGTAGCCCTCCTCAATATGGTCTTCGTCTGCAACGGCACCAGCAGCTGCCCCGTCTCGGCTAGCGGCACCCTGGACTCCTTCGCGCCGGAGCCTCCCCGGCCGTTGGGCGGCCCCAGCGGTGCCGGCCTGATTTCTGGCTCGCTGAATCCGCCCCGATTAGGGATAGGCGGGAAACTTCTGCAAGGGGTTACCGCCGGCCCCGGAGGTGGAGGCGAGGGTGGCGGCGTAGGCGGCGGCGGGACCAGCACCGGCGGTCCCAGCGCGCTCAGCCCGGGCTTCGGCGACGCCGGGACCGACACGCAGTGCGGCGAGCAGATCCTGAACTACGGCAACGTGGAGAAAGTGGTGATCGGAGCCGCCCTGACGCTCATCACGCTGCTGACCATCGCGGGCAACTGCCTGGTGGTGATCTCGGTCTGCTTCGTGAAGAAGCTCCGCCAGCCCTCCAATTATCTCATCGTCTCGCTGGCCTTGGCCGACCTGTCGGTGGCCGTGGCCGTCATGCCCTTTGTCAGCGTGACCGACCTCATCGGCGGCGAGTGGATCTTCGGCAGCGTCTTTTGCAACGTCTTCATCGCCATGGACGTGATGTGCTGTACCGCCTCGATCATGAGTCTCTGCGTGATCAGCATCGACAGGTGAGCAAAGGCGCGCAACCCCGACGACGGGGCAGCTCGCTTGGGTGCGCCCGGGGCGCGTGGAAGCCCGGCTTGCGGGAAGGGAGCGCAGCCTTCGCCGGCGCGCAGTCGGGCGGCGGCTGAAGTGGATGAAACTGCTTCGGGTTTTGCCGCGCTACTTCGGAGCTCGCCCTTTCCTGTTAATATAATCCGCCTGAAGGTTTGGCTTCTCGGTGGGAAAGAAAACATCACGAGAAGCTCCGATAAGTTGGGTAAAGTTGAGTAAAGGTAGACGGTCGAGTCTCGACCCTTGGTCAGGCTGAGTTCAGTGCAAAGGATTACCCATTTCGGATTCCTTAATGGGAGTACCTATAATCACCCCGCTTTGTACCACTTGATAATTATGGTGTGTTTATGAACCCTGCGATGCTAAGATTTATTTTTAAAAATCCATACACAGATATACAGAACCCAGAGATGATTGTGAGTTATCTGAATATCTAGAATTATATTGGGGATAAACTATAACTCCCCCGCCTTAAATAGAAGCCTGATGCCAGCTGTAAAATAGGTTTGGAAAGTCTTTCAGGCTGTGTGACTGTGCTCAGGGGTTATCCCAAGGAAAGTCTGAAAAGAGTAATTGTTCCAAATTCATCATCATGAAAAGATAGGTTGAAAACCTATGGATGCAAAACAAATTTGTACAGAAAATGTCTGAGTTGGTAGAAACGGTGGAAGGCTAATCTATCTGAAGAGCTTCAAAGCTTTCTAGACTGGTTCCACCTATGGAACCATTCCTGATATTGCCATTCCCAGAAAACTAAAGATAAATGTTTTTCCTACCATCAAATAGGGTCTTGTCCTTCCCTCAAAACTTCTGGACATTAGGGGTATTTTTGCCACTGAAGTCAATTTTATTTCTTTACCTGCCTATCCTGGAAAACCATGAACTATTGATGTTGGGGAGTTTATCTGCAAAAGCTGTGAAAAGTTTGAATGGAAGTGTAAATTGTTTGACTGGAGTTGAGAATAGTTTTGTAAGCAATCCAGCAGGGGTCTCTTTTGAGTTGCAGTAGCCTTGAAAAGACTAGACACTACAGTAAACTCTAAAAGTCAGGCAAAAGAATGGATATTTGATGTGAAGAAAAGAGGATGCAGGGAAACCCTCCAGAATAGCTATGCTCCTTCAACATGCTTATCAATGACCACTTGAATCATCTTTATTCCATTAACCCAATTATGGTTGTATATGTCACTCAGAATCCACCAGATGACAAAGCATTCTGCTGAAACGTATTTGGTTAATTTTGGTTCAGGCTGTCCTGTAAGCATAGCCATGGTCTGGTGCAAGATATTCATGAGTATCGAGCTGTATTGTTACAAACAGGATTATCTGCCCAGGAATATGCTATATTGTAAAGAGAATCCTTATTCTCAAGTTCATTGGTCCATCAACTTGGTTCTGCACAGAAATGGACACCCCCAAATGTGTCAAGAGAATTTATTCTGCCTTATTATCCAACCTTAATTTACTTCTTCTTTTGATATTTCCATATGCATATGCCACACCAAAAAATAAACATTAAATAACATTAAAATCTTTAAGTGTTTTTGTCATCCATTCTTGTTCAAAAGTATTTTTTTTAATCTTGGAGATTCATGTCAATTGGGAGAAGGTGTTATATGGTAGTTCTGAGAATTATGTGAAATGAAATAGGTCTTTGCTTTTTATGATCATTAACAAAAATTGTTTCACTGTACCACAACTTTGTAAAATAGGCTTGTAATTCTTGCAGAAATCCTGAGAGTTTTGATAGCATAATAAAATAGAATATCATGTGTACTACATACTATTACAACGTATTACATACTATTAAATGTAATTTACAATTTGTAGTGTGTGATTTGATATGCCAGTCTTCCTTAACCTGGTATTTTTCCTGATTGGAGAAAGTCATTGTGGCTAAGAATTAGGGTAGCTGTATCAGGCTAGGGAAAACTCCCAGCAGGATTGGGATAGGAGTGGGGAACCATGATTTATGATTTTCAACAAAGGATGCGTTATAGTTTTTTCACCAAATCAACAAACAAAAAAGAGGTTCTTTTCTTTAAGAGGTTCTTTAAATATCAATCTAAGTTTTGATAGTGAGGAAAACAATAGAGATAAAAGGGTTGTGAAAAGACCCCTAATACCTTAAAAAAAAGAAAGGAACAAATGCCTTAATATGTCTGCACCAGAAGCGTCCTCAAGGTATGGTTAAAAAAAAAGTCAGGGTAGTGGCTACAGCCCTGGCCATAAGTCTGTACATTCCTTCTTTCCAATATTAAATTTTCAATTGAAGTAGATTCTGCTAATTTATCATAGTTAAGGACAGGAGATTTTAAATTCCTTTTGTGTTACTTTAGATGTAAGACTTGAGCTTCTTGCAGTTTTTCTACTCTTGTGGAGGTATTCCCTACACATTAATCTCTCTTTGCAAAATTCTCTTTTACATTGAAACTGAACATGCAACTGGTAGGGCCATACAGTATCTACTGGGCATCCTGGAAAGGGAGACATTTGGCCACTTTTGACTTCCAATAGTTAGTGAAGGTTGCAGGTTATAAACCAGTGATGCCCAGCTTTGGCAACTTTAAGATTTGTGAACTTCATTCTCCATGCTTGCTGGGGAATTCAGGTAGTTGAAGTCCACAAGTCTTAAAGATGCCAAGGTTGGATACTCCATTATAAACCCCTAGAAATGTTACATAAGGCTCACAAAGTCAATGCAAATTATAGCCTGACCTTTACAGCCAGAATGCAGCATTTCAGAATCCCTCAAAGTGATCATGTTTGTAAGTATAGAATATTATTCCCAAAGGGCAAAACCTTATTATCTACAAGGATTGCTCAAAGCAAGAGGCTTCACAGGTGGAAGCAAAGCAGTGTCAGACTTGATTAGAAATTGGATGGGAGGCTGACAAAGAATCCCAAGTATATAGCATGGGAAGCTGAAAAATTATTTTGAGAGAAGGCAGTATACTTTGGTATGGTTACTAAGAAAATTCTATGGATGGATTCATCAAATCATTAGGGGTTAAGCTCAGCTTGAAAGAGAATTTATTAGCGGAACTAGAGAAAATGATAATGAACAAAATGATTAAGTATCCTGAAATAGAGTTTTAATATTGTAACTGGCCTTTGTATATTTTGGATTGCACTGATGACTTTTCAGAAAATCTTGTAATTAAATGGAAAAGAATTAAAATGTCATCAAAAGCTTAATATTGAAACAGGCATTTTCACTAACTGTGAATTTACTCCCATTTCTGTAAATAAGAAAAGATAAGTTTTTATTCTTGGAAGATAAGAGGGGTTGCTTTAAAAGGTCAATTTTGGCTTATGGATTGTCAGTTTTTCCTCTATTTCTCCATGGATGGAGAAAAAGCTCTGAAGATCTCAGTTCCACAGCCCTGGGCAAACTCTGTTCTGAGATATGAAGCCAATCTTGGACATGTTTGCTGGCCTTGAAAAATGATGAGCCAGGGTTTCTATGCAAAATAAGGGCATTTTAAGCACTGTAGAAACCAGGTCAGCAGAATTTTGGAGGGCAAGAAGGATGACAAGAGAAAATAGGGAATGAGTCAGGCAGAGGTGAGCTAGGAGATTTGAAAGCACCTTACTACAGAGGTAAGTTAATTTCTCATATTGCGGATGTTCCATAGTAAATCAGGTTGTGATTACTTAACAAGGAACAACTTCAGTAAATGCATTAAAACACAGATCTAGAGAAATCCAATCCAGCCAAGGAATGTGGTTAGAATACATCCTCCTTCAAATCTGTTTATTTTCCCATAACGGTTATTTCTATAATTCCTGATTCCTACATGAACCACTCATATTGCGTCTCCTGTCTCTCCTAAGAATATTAAAATAACACTGCATGATATTAAAGGCCCAGCTGGTCCACTCTTCTAGGGGACAGAGTTGCCAAGCCAATGTATCCTGAAACCTTTCAAGTAGGAGACAAGGCAAAGAGCCCTTTTCTTCTGTTATCCTACAGCTGCTCTGGATTTAAGATAAAGTCTCTTTCAAGTTGAGGCTCTCTTTCAAAACCATCTGAAGGGGTGGACTTTGTTGGCATCTGCTGGCAATCAATCCCATAGTTTATGCATCAATGGAAAAGTATTTTTATTGCTCTTAAATTTCCTGGGTATTGAGATTCAGCGGGGATCTCAAGTCCTTAATGCTGGGAAAGAAAGAGGATGAGGGAATGCCTCTTTTTCTTCATATTTTCCATGCTGAGATATCATGCATCCCATTGTTTTTTCCCTCCAAACCCCATAGTCTCAAATGCTGTATACATTCATGTGTATGCAAGTTGCTCTGGCCTCCAAATAATTTTAATTGCCTGTTCCTATGCCTTTTGAGGCTTTACAATATCTTTTTGCAGTGCACTGTTTAGAACTGTGTAACATTATAGGAATCCTTCCCACCCCAAATCTTTAATCTTCAAAGAGTCCTGCACATTCAAATATAGTAGATCGTGTTAATAGCAGCTTCTTCAATACTGGTATATAGCCAAATCAAGAAAATAGCAAATCTTGGATTGCTGTTCTTAATCATCCTGATGATTTGCTGAATGTCCGTTTGGAAATTTGCCCTGGAATTATGAGCATTCTTTAGCCACAAATTAACCACTTCCATCTCAGTACCCAACAAAGATTACTTACTATAACCTTCCTGGCTTTTTATTCTTTTAATTTCAGTGTGCCTTAATGCAGTCTCAGAATGATGAGCTTCACATTCTCGGCTGCTATCATGATTATAAATGCTGAAGCTTACCTACAATTGGAGAATTTTGAAGATCAAATTTCCTTAGTTTTGCATTTACAGCACTGTAAATACCATATGCCTGGCCTAGATAGAATTTTTATCAATTTAAATATTACCCTGCTGTCACTCATGTAAGACACTGGCTTGTCCTTCATCATTTCAGAATATGAGGTGTGTATTTGAGCAAATTTCATTCCAGGGGATC